AGCACAAATAGCATGAGAACTACAAACAAGTGGACAGGAGGTTCAGTTCTGGCTCTTCTGCTAACTTCCTGTGTTGCCTCAGTGAGGCAAGACATAGGCTCTTTATATGGCAATGTTCTTTGAATGATGGGGCTTGGCTCATGTAAAGATGAAACGTAATGGTTTATGTAAAACTTTCAGCATAGTGCCTGGCCTAAGTGTTGGCACCCTGAAAATGTTAGTTGGGTGTATTATTGTGACAAATAGAAGTTACTTCTCACTCCAGCATCCTTGTTTTAGGTCCTAAAGATGTATATATGGCTAATTATAATGGCTTCTTTAGAGAAAATGTTAAAATGAATATAAGGCACTAATTTTATAAAATCATAATTTTATAAAATTAAATATTTATTCTAACCATTCATACAGGTCTTGGGTAGATTCCTTCTTTTTCATGAACAATATGCTGTTCAGAATTTTGTGTCATTGGCAAGGCCCTGCTCAGCTTTGTTTGAACTAAACATTCAGGTAGGTAGGCTGACTGTGGCTTTGTCCATTCCAACAGTGGGGTCTGCCCAAAGCATGACTGAACAATGAACAGATGAATCAATCAGGGATGTTTGTCCTTGAAATAAACAGGGTTAGAGTAAAGGTGGTTAGACAGATCTTCAGTATTCCTCCCCTTGAAAGGCAGAGTCCTATTATCCTTCTTTTGGGTCTGGACTGGCCTTAGTGATGGTTTGATGGCATGTAGAAATGACACCCTGGGATTTTCCAGGCTAGGTCATATGAAGCCTTACAGCTTCTGCTTGGGTCTCCTGGGAGGTTTACCCTTGGAACTCTTAGCTGTCAGGTAAAGTATCTGACCATATGGAAGAGTTCTATTACAACACAGAGACTTGGAGGGGTCCAGTAGAGCCTGGTCTTCCAATTGTGCCTTCAAAGGTGCCAAACATGTGAGTGAGGCCCTTTAAGACCTTTTCACCTACACCATCCACCAGCTGAATACCACCAGATGACTCCCCTTGATACCACATGGGACTGAAGAATCACCCAGCTGATTCCTGCCCAAATTCCTGATCCACAAAATCATGTCCAGTAATAATACGGTGATGTTTTTAAGCCATTAAACCTTGGGGTGCTTTGTTAAACATCAATAAATAACTGAAACATAGACACTGCTGAATTTTGGGACTTATACTCAGAGACCAAACTAACCACTAATGAGGGATTTTGGCAAGGTCTCTCTCATTGGATTTTGGAAGACAAAAGCACCTGAGTGGCCAAGATTAGACAAAGGGAAGTGTATTTCCATAGACCATCTGTTCTAGGTGATGTTTTCAGATGAAGTTGAATACTTCCCTTAATGAACACTAACCATGTATGACTGATGCCAGTGTACTACTCAGAGAGGCTAATGCCAGGAACATCAACGACTGTTCCTTAGTGCAATAGGGGAGCTACTGTGATGTTCATGTCATCAATTTGGTGACGTAACCTGCACACTTAAATTGTTAAAAGGTGGCAATTTGGCATGAGGATATGTGAATTAAAATGATTAGATGCAAACTAAAAGACAAATGACTATTTCTGAAAACTGTTGGTTAATTTAATTTTATTTTTTGGGCTGTTCTTGGAGTGGAAAATGATTGTGAGTTTTTTGGGGAAAAATACCAGAGCAATCTGTTTTCTTGGCTGTGTGCTATGCAGTAATTTTAAAGCATTGAAGTGCTTTCCATATTTTCTAATCACTCAAGTCCAGACCTGATTATGGTTCTCAGCATCTCTCAGATTCATACCACTGGAGCCCTCTACGTCTTTCAGGGAGAGGTTTCACCTTGAAAGCTGGTGCCCGATTCAGAAGGCATATCTTGCTACAGCGGGAACAGTTAATTGCAAGACAGTTCCACAAGGCCAGGTGTTTTGGAAAATCACTGGTGACCCAACTTCATGACAGCCCAGATTTACTTGCCCTTATCACACAGAAACAAAACAGAACCTCCCCTCCAAACAGAACAAACAAAAACTTGCCCTACCCGAAACTAAATTCTTCCAAACAAAACCCAGAAAAATTTAGTTGTTTGAGACATAGGCAGTACCATGCAAACATATGCATACCACACAGACACACACACACACACACACATACGAACACAGTTACATACTACAGAAAATCTCTGTAAGGAGTCCTAAGAAATTAGTAAGACTGGTTTCATTTTGGGAATAATTTGGAAACTGGAGAAAATTTGCAGTTGATGAAGGAGGAGGACATTTTTGACCACAACCTTTGGAATATTTTGAATTTATAAAAGTCGTATGTTGTATTATTTTCAAAATAATGAAACAGAATAATTCAAAATATGCATGTGGTACTTAAGATGTGCTAGACTATGTGTTAAATGCTTTATGTGTATTCATTCATGCTGTGATGCAGACATCATTATGTATCATCTTGATTTTACAGATGAGAAAACTGAGAAACTAAAAGGTTAAGTAACTTGTCCAAGGTCACACAATTGATAAATGCAGAACTGGGATTTGGACCTAGAAATTTGGTTCTAGAATCTGTCCTTTTAATTGCTGCATAGTACTGTCTTGCCAAAAATATACATACTTGGTCACTTGCTCATAATGGAATTGAAACATAAAAATCTTCCTTTCTTTTCTTTTATGTCCTCTAGGGCAATGAGGTGGAGAAGATGTGGGTGAAAATAAATAAATGTAACCCACCTATAATATTGAACTATTGTTGTTTCGGAGGGCTTTTTAATTGTGTGATTGTCATGTTAATGTTATAACTTTGGTCAAGCTGATTAATACTTCTGGACCTTAGAAGAAAGATATGTGCCAAGTATTCTGCTAAGCTTTGGGGACAAGTGATAAAATATAGTCAGTGTTCTGAAGAAACCTGTATTCTGGCAGAGACAGGCAATAAACTTATATACAAATTGTGTTATGAGCAATAAAGAAAAATTAAAGGATACATTTAGAGGATTCAGGGCTCTAGTTTATACCAGATGGTATGGAAATATCATAGAGTGATGAAGAATGAGCAGAAGTAAAATAGATACAAATGGAAAGGGGATAATGAAAGGACAAATGTTCTGGTTGATGGAGCAGCCAATGCAAGGACTCTGAGGTGGGGAAGAGGTCTCTGAGGACATACAGGCCAGAATCATAGAACAAGGTAAGCCAAATTGATTTTGGACCACGAGGCAGATCATGTAGACCACAGTAAGGATTTCACAATTTTCTTAAGAGCTGTGGAAGCCACTGAAGACTTTAAGTTGGGTGACATAACCTGATTTAATTTTAGTGAGCTTCCTTGGGCTGCTGGGTAGAAAACACATATAGATAGAGGCAATGGAAGAAGTGGAAGACCAGGTAGGAAGCTACTGTGGGAATCCAGGAAAGCAATGAAGATGACTTGGAATAAAGTGGTGGCAGAAGGATAGCAGTAGGTAAACTTGAGATCTACATTGCTGGTACAGTATTTTATGAGAGGGGAATAATATTAGCCATGACATGTTAGTGTAAGACATGAATTTACAGGTATAAACTTTCAAAGGTAACTGTTACCACAGATGATGAAACCACATACTGCAGAGACTTTAACTTGCCCAAAGTCACACAACTGCTGAGTGGTAAGGACGGAGTAAAAGTAGTTGGTCTGTGATCTCTTCACTCCTTTCTCTGGAGGTGAATCCCAGGGGAAAGAAAAAAAAAGGCTGATGACCATGTCTAATTCCCTTGTCAAATGAACCTCCGGGTAAATGAACTACTGATACTTAGGATGGCCCTGACTAAGGGCTACCTTTTGTAAATATAGACCAGGATCTATAAAGCAGAGGTACTTGGAGAATATCACATTGGTTATACAATTCTCTGGGGGTATAACAGGGACATGTTTCATAACTGAAATGCTCTTGGCTTGGCAGTAGGAGTTAAGCCCATGATCCTCATCTATCATTTGGGGTGGACATGTGTATCCAATGAGGGAAGATAGGACCTGGCCACCCTTGAGTTTTGCTTATGTCATCTGAATCTCTTCATTGCCTGCTCCTTGAAATCTCTTAGAAATGCTTGATATTGGGTAAGAACTCTGATTTTTCTACATGATTGACAATCAGATTCTGTTTCTCATTCAGCGGCACATACCTATTTCCCAGGCCATACTCTTCCTATGATTCCCTGTGACATCAGGCCTGGTTTTACAGTTCAGGGATAAAGGAGGAACAGACTTGGTTATATCTGAGTCCCTTGCTAGAGGCAAAACTCTGACATTTACTTGCCAGTAGATGTCTATCTACAGGAAAAATTAATTTTTTAGGACACTTACACAATTAAAGAAACATGGTGTATTTGACTTCATTGTGACTGAGCAAAACAGGAAAACATAATAATGGATGCTCTGTGACAGTTCATCTGATCACCTAGTGAGGTGAACCAGGGCTTTGGGTTTCCAGGGACTGGTGCTAAGCAGTTATCTTTGAGTGGGCTATTTGGATGCTTGGATGTGCACCACCTCTCCCCCCACCCTCTAAGATTCCATACAATATTATTGTTTTGCTGTGACTATCATTCCCCAAACTACTCACCACCCTCCTAAATCATGGAATTCATTCTCTCTCTCTCCCCTTATTAGGTGAAAAATTTATCTTCACATATGACTTTGTTTTGAAACTTAGAAAGGATGATAAAGAGAACTATTACGTTAGCTGAAAAGGAGAGAAACCTTTTTATTCTCCCTTCCTCACAACAACTGTATTTGTGCCAGAGGCATCAAAAGACAGAATCAGCACAGGGACCTTACATTGTATTCCTGGTACACACAGTACCTATTATGAACCGAGCTATTGCAGGGAAAGCATGTTCAAGGACCAGGGCTCCCTCTGGCAGATGCTAAACAAGAAGATGTTAGCAGGCTTGTGTGACAAGAACACAAACATGTTTTATGACAAAAAGCATCTTGACATTCTCTTCTCCCCAAACAAACTCCCAAACCAAAGCCCAGTGTTTACCTTCGGCAAGTGGGTCAAGGGTGTGTATCATGAGCTGAAAGATGCTATTCCTCATGAGGCTGTTGTGGAGGGAGGCAGAGCTTCCACCTCTCTGGAGACGTGGCTTCGTCTGAACAGAGAAACCAAAGATAATGTTAGTTCTCAGAAACGAAGGACAAGTGCATTACAGAGAAGATCCTCACTTTGTCTGTTGGTCACTTGCTTCTTTCATAGGACCACACACTATTGAACCAAAGATGTTCAAAGTACATGTCAACCTTCCCTGAGGGAATGCCTTTCTCACATCCTTTCCTACTAAATTACTTGATTGTTTCCATTGTTTAAGAGCTTGGTAAATGCTAGGGAACATGTTGTGTGCTTCACAACCATTTTTTTTTATCTCAAGATGAACCCTATGAAACAGATACTGTAATTATCCTTTAAATTAACAAGAAAATTTAGTCTCAGAGAAGTGAAATTAGGTGTCCAAGTCACACAACAAAAATAGTGAGGATAGAAGAACACATTTCAGGTCTGCTACATTCAAAGATGCTTATCAAAAAAACTGGGTGGTCTCAAAAATTTTTGGATTATTGATTATATTGACAAGATTTTTCAATGTTTGTATATGAAAGGACTTCAAAAAGTTTATAGAAAATGGAATTAAGAGATAATTTTTATATAAAAATTTTAAATCCATGCATATAATGGAGTCTTATAAAAGGTCATGGAAACTGCAACTTATAAAACTTACGCATGATTTCAACATGTAGTTGTATTACAATACACTTTGTTTTAGTTACATTTCTACAAACTTTTTGAAGTATCCTCATTTATATCTATATCTGTACCTATTTTTGTGCATGTCTATTTAGATAGACACACTAAAATATGAGCATATAAAAACATTTGAAAAACAAGTTAAGAAAGGCATAAAAAGTAAATGATACAGGTGCTAATATTTTCTCCTCGCTACCCAAATGATCATCTTGCCCAACTTCTGGGGGGCCTTGTCTCTACCCTTGGGACCACAGTTCTAATCCAGAAAGCACTGGTGGTCTATGTCAGTACAGGTTTGAAGAGATGGATGCTCCCATCCTGAATAGAAGTTCCTTTCTTCCCCTTGGTTAATGTTGTGCTGATTATTTCAGCAGAAGATCTCAGTGGCAACCAAACTTTATAGACAGAAAAGTTCAGGTGGGGAGAAAGTTATTGTAATACAAGGGAACTTATTTCTTATTGAACTCTCAGTCCAAAATCTTTACAAGAAAATTTTTAAGGTCAGGTAAAAATAAAACATTATTTCTCTGTTAAGTCTTCTAAATTTATACATTATAGGGTTTTACAAAATATTCCATCATTCCAGACCCATAAGGGGACTTCCCAAGAAAAGTAAGAGACTCCATAATAAAACACATTTAGAAAATACTACATCCTAGATCAACTCATTTTTTTTTTTGACCGACTCACTTTTAGGGTTTCAAGGTACACATTAGAATTGGGTCTAACACCAAAGAAATCTGGTTAATCTGGACAGTATTTCCAAATAATTGCTCAGGTTTTTAATTTTGTAAAATGCTTATTAGTTACCATGGTCCATACCTTTGGTATCAAACCTGAAATCCACAGTAAACTTGAAGTATGTATAAAATGTCAGTATGAGATACATAGAGAAATTAGACTTCCTTAGTATGATTTTGTTATAATTGGGGTTCTATCCTAATATACATTGAAAATCATATCCCCAACTTAACAGGATTTCAAGAAGAATCAGAGGGGAATTACTGGTGCCTCGATGGTGCTAAGATCATGAGCTCTGCAAAGAAAGAGACTGTCTGTATTCTCAGCCTAGTATGGGAACTGGTGTAGCCTACAGGTTTTCAATGAATGTCATAAATCTTTGAGCATTACAAAAGGGAGGATGGGGTCATTTGTATTGTCATCATTAGTCCTTTTAGCTTTAAAAACATTTAAAATGCATTTTATTATTTAATAACAGAGGGTTCAGATGATTAAGTTTCGACATATTTTAGGGGCAAGGTTAGGAGATTTGGCTAAAGTTGAAATGTAATCACTATTTGTTGACTGAACATGAAAACTCTGAAGGTCCTTTCCTTGCCATGCTGTGCAATCTGAAATGTGATGTGTTAATTAGGTAGGAACTGGAAAATGTGCTAACCACTATTACTATGGTCCTTATTTTGGGAAACTAGAAAAATGGCTGTGGACATATTCATTAGACTAGGATAATTTCTATGGAAGAACTTAAAGCACTCTTTTGAACATTATATTTAAATTGAATATATTGTTATCATGCAGAATTTCTTTTGATGGGACCAAAAGGAATTCCTAATAAAGGTATATGCATGCAGATACACAAAGAAAACACATGTCAAGCATTAGATCCAATGCTATGCCCAAATAACAGCTCAACATCCCTTGGAATATAATTTAGAAATATCTCACTCTTTCAACTCCAGTCACAGTTCATGTCAACCAGAAGACAGAATTCAAACTTTTGAAACTTAGAGCCAGAAATAATTTGTCAGTGCATGTCAGAGTTCATTGTCACTAATTGTAGGACACAGTTTCTTTCTTTCTTTCTTTCTTTCTTTCTTTCTTTCTTTCTTTCTTTCTCTATCTATCTAATCTATCTATCTATCTAAACTATACTACATATATATATACACTGTATATGTACAGTATATATTATACACAGGAGTGGAAAAAAAGAGTGGGTTAAACTACTTATTCCAAGGGAGAGGATGATTTGTTGAGCACACATGCCCCTCTGCCTCCCAACCCTGCCCCCACCCTTTCCACAGGCACACAAACAGGTACAGACAGGGCCACTGCTTCCTACCGGTAGAGCTGGTTCATCTTTATCCCGGGTTGTAGATGACTGCATAAGAAAAAAAGGCAAAAAAAAAAAAAGAACAAAAAAATAAATAACAAACAGATTGCATATAGGGTTTACATTTACTGACATGTATAAATATAAAGATTGATTTCTGCTGTTCCCAGGATGAATTTATGACAAAACAGAAGGTATACATTTCTAGCCAATATTTAATGGCTTATTGGAGCACATGATCCATTTTCATGAAAAGTCAAATTTGAATAGCCCACCAAAATACCCAGGAATAGAGGCAGTTAAATAAATTATGCTCTAACTGTGGAGTAGACCCCATGTGATAATTAAAATGAACAAAGTATGAATACATCCTGACATGGAAAATAGCCAAAGTACATTGTTAAGTGAAAACAAATATTTTGAAACCTTATTTACTATTGCTTTATTTCATAAGAGAAAATAACAGTACTTTAGCATTTGTAGTTAGTGTTATCAGTGGTATTGTTGGGGCAGGCATTATAAGGAAGTGTCATTTTCCATATGTTTTGGAGAGAGCATTCATTGCCCATATTGGTGAACCAAATAAAACCTGAAGCAGTTAGGTCACTGAATTAAAGACCAGAATCATCCCACATGACATTAAGATACTCCATGTTTTCCCCTTTCCCCACCACCTTGAATTTTCTAGTCTAAAATAGAAACCTCCATCTAGTTGAGCAAGGTTGATTAGAATGCAAGGACATGTGAGGCTCTGGTCATTTGTTGGGAGAAAACACAACTCAGACAAGAGGACGTAGAATTCTACCAAAATGAACTGAATGGCTTTGCTTCCCCAACTAAACATGAACTTTTTTTTATAGAATTGGGACTCTTCACTGTGATCTTTCCCATGACGTACAGGTGCCTTATGAATTTCCTCATGTTTAGACCACTGCCTTTGTTATATCACCTCAACTACATGTGCTTATAGCAAGAACCAACCTGAGTCTTCACTCTTCTGCCTTCTGGTCCTCCCCATTATATTCTTAGCCCATGTGCAACTTCAGGAATAGTCACACACCTGGAGAAGACGGCACAAGGGCAGAGCTGTCTTAAAAATTCCATAGGTTCTAGGCTTTCCTATTTAGGTTCTGTTTCACCTGTCATACAAAGAATGTAAAGATGCCTTCACATATCACAAAAAATATACATTTTATATAAAAAAGGAAAGGAGTTTTATAATTTAGTATTTCAAATAATGAGCTGTGTGCACCTCATTTATGTTTGACATGCCCAAAATCTTGGAAGGTGAAAAATCAAATCCATAATTTTTTTATGTGTAGTTTTTAAATTTGATTGTCTTATACCTTTTAAGCATTAGATATTTAGTTGTCCTATAACTTTTAAGCTATAAGACAACTAAATTTAATATTTAATGGGGTTGATATTAAAAATATCATGTACATTCAAGTAAATATCTCTTAATCTTGATTTTTTTTTTTTAGTGGAGATGTATTTTTGGACTTTGTAGTCACTACCAATGTTTTTCCCCTGCCTCTGGCTCCAAACATTTTTATAGACTCTTGAAGAACTTGGGAGTCTCAGACAAAGACAGAAGGGCTCTCGGTTGGTGGTAGTTTCAGAGCATAGCCTGAGGATATTACGAAATTTGCCATAATTCTATTACTTGGAGCTCTAGCTCTGTGACTTGTATGAAAACACAAATCAGAAAATACCTCTGAATCCCTAGCTCCCAAGAACATTTTTGGAACTGGAGTGGACTTGAAACCGTCTTTTGATTTCCCTCTTTGCTTAGAAAGGCACCGTATGATGCTGCTCCTCTCTGGCAAATTCTTTCATTGCCTCCCCATCTACATCAGACAGTTCAACAAATGGCCCCACACGCTACAGAATAATCCCCCAGGGAAATTTTCCGGTGCAGCGAGCTCAGCCTTTGCACATACATTGAGATGAACTGTCAGAGCTTGCCTTTTCAGTTAGCAAATTTACACCTTATGCTAAATGAGAGACAAATAATTACGAGCCAGGACTGATAGCACAGCTATGTCATAGAACATGAAGGAACATGATGAAACCGAAGAAGGAGGAGGATGGACTTCCTGAGAGCAAAAATATCACCAGCTGCAAGTTTGGATTTTAAAATATATTTGAATAAATTATTTGATGAAGGAAAACCAAAATCCCAAACCTGTATTTTGAGCTGAAAGGAAGAAAAAATATCTACCACATTGATTTCTTTATTCTCACACAAGCAAGGAGATCATAAACACAATACATGGAAGGAAAATGTGTAGTGTGTAGATTTTATAAAGAAAAAAGCTGAGAGCAGAGAAAAGTCTAAAACCCTTTACAAAATTTCTTTAATGTGAGCAGACGTTGACATCATTCATTTTCTCTCCAGTGTGATTTGCACACATGAATATACATCAGATTACAACAAATAAATTTAGGTGTAAACACAAATGACAGCTGAGACTATTAACCTGCCCCTCCATTTCCCTCTTATGTAGCACTATTGCAAAAGAAGTGAATATTGTGACATGATGGTAATTGTTTATTTTCAAGGGCTAACCCACATCTACTGATAATTCCTAATGTTCCCTGACTTAGGCTTGTTCTAATTGCATCCTGAAGCAGCCTCACAGTCCTGGCAATGTGCTGCTGATTACGTTAGAAATTCAATTTTAAAGGCGTTTTAATTACCCTGGAAGTAACTAATGAAGGTGATGAAATGGTCCTAATAAATATAGTCAATGAGTTTTGGGTTGGCCTTGGTGTCATGAATCTATTTTCTGGGCAGCTGAACATTTGACAAGTTTATTCCAATCCATCAGATGTTGCAGAAGACAACTTCTTCAAAAAAGACTCACATGATTTTAAGGATTAATGTTGGCCTTCTTATAATGCATTTTGCTTTTATATTCCCTTAATTTTATGCACACCAAAATAATATCCATTTGGACTTTACTAATTTGAAAGCCCAATTCCTGGTGGCTATGCTAGCTATAAGAAAGGGTTGTTAAGCCAATCCATAACATATACAACAATTCTTGACGATTATTTAAGAAATTTCACAAAGTGCATCCTGACAAGGCTCAGGGTAGGACTTTGGTATGCTAGTACAGACTCAGTTTCTACCAGACAAGGATGTCAGAAACACCTCTTTGTACTTACTAGAAAGTATTCTATAATTCAAATGTTCATTTAATTTAATCCAATACCTCCTTCATTACTCTAGATCAGTCATGTGGTGATTGCCCTTAATTTGAGCAACTGGAATGATACCACTAATATCAATTTCCCTTCCTCCTGGAAATTCCAATTCTATATGGGAATTGTGCTACTTTTTGGATGGATGTTTTGAAAATGCCCCTTCCGTTCCCTCCCTCTCAGATGACAAAAGACATTATCCTTTCGGAAAGCATTTCTCTCACTGCAAATCATTCTCAAGTCCTTAGATGTTTTTTTCTCTTTGTCCCTGGAAAGCCACTAGTCAAAGAATGATTTCACTGTGTATGACAGATAGTTTTGATGTAACTTTGTACAGAGATTTAAAATCTGCAACCCCACCCCAGTCCTATCCCACACATACACACAAATTAAGTAAATACTGCAACCTACCTGCCTCAGGGCCTCTCACATGCTTGTGGTTCACTCTGGCCAATAACTGTCCATCCAATAGGTCATCATGAAGATTTTGTATGTCAGAAGACAAATGTATAAATAAGGAATGTTACTCCTGGCCAGTGATGTGGCATCAGATGTAGGGAAAAGATAGGCTATTTGTCACAAGGCCAAGTAGTAACTATAAGCTTCTACCACTGTAACCTTCTTCCAAGTCCTGTGAAATTTGCCTGAATTCATTATTTCAAAAACCCAGAAGCATTATAAAATCCATGATGACAATTTTTAAATGTAACTATTTTGTCATGAATGTGATCCTAAATAAATATGCCAGTAATTAGTAATATTAATTCAGTATTTAATTGACATTAATTTTAATGTCAGAATATAAAAAGATTGGGTGAGGGATGATTTGAATGACTGATTTTCATTTAAAAATTGTCATGGCAGTATGTAATGAAGTTTCCTTTTTGTTTCAACATATTTACCTGTAATAAACAAAACATTCAAATCTCTCTTCTGGTTACAGATGAATAAGCCTTAAAACCCACTAAGAAGACTAGATAAAAAGTACAATCACCTCAAATCTAAAATCTAAAAGTAAATAAGCCTTGCTACCTTTTAATGAGTTGGAGATTTATTTCCCTCTCCCATATTTTACTGTATCTTAACATATTCCCTAAATTGTTAGAGAAGGAGAAATTAAATACATCACCAAAGCATGAATTACTAAGTAATTTAAATTCAAATTATTTTTACTTTTGGTGGCTGATAATCACATTTCTTCAGGAAAGTAAAAATCTCAAAGATCAATGAAGTGTTAAAGGTGGGAGGACACAGAAATACTTAAGAATTCTGGCTTAAAGGAGTGCATTGAGGTGGCCAGCATTGTGGCGAAGTGGACAAAGCCACTGCCTGGGATATCAGCATCCCATATGGGTGCCTGTTTGAGTCCTGGATGCTCCACTTCCAGTCTAGCTCCCTGGTAATGCAGTTGGAAAAAGCAGTGGAAGATGGCCCAAGAGCTTGCTCTCATATGGGAGTCCTGGAAGGAGCTCCTGGCTTCTGGCTTCAACCTGGCCCAGCCTGGGCTGTTGAGGTCATCTGGAGAGTGAAATAGTGGGTGGAAGATCTTTCTCTGTCTCTCCTTCTCTCTATAACCCTGATTTTCAAATAAATAAGTAAATCTTTTTTAAAAAGCACATTGAGATGGAGAGAAAGTATGGAAATCACCTAAATAAGTGTGCTATTGAAGCCCACATTATCCATAAGGTGTTTTGATAATTTGAGTTATTTCCATGATCATGAAATACCTGGAGTAGTAGAAATATGTGGGAAGAACAGGTATCCCCCAAAATGGGAGGAGAGAAATAGAAATTACCTAGGGATAGTTAAGAACAACATTTTGCCTTTGAAATAGCTAG